GATTTAGAACTCTTATCAAAGCATTAGCCTATATTTTATCGGAGATAGTTCTCTATTATTGTTGTGTTACTTCACAGCAATAGATTGTAGGTAAAAGGGGCAGAGGAAAAGTGCTCGAGAGGCTGAAACTGAAACAATAATGCGGCGGTCGGTTCCGTCTACGGAGTATATCTAGACTAAAAGGAGCCTATTGAGATCTACACTGTAGGATCCTAGCATGGATGATACAGAAGATGTGGGAAATGTACGTATCTCAGGCCTAGACTGTGATGTTCAGGAAAGGAGTGGCGCTGGTCGATATAAATGATCTCGATGAGACGGCTGCGGACATGACTCCATTGGGGATGCTAATTCTAGAGAGAGAAGATACCAAGATAGAGAGAAGCTGGCATGTACAACCAGCACTACAAAAAAAAGAAAAAAGGAATGTCACGTCAATCTCCATCAAGCAATCCAATGACCAATGGAACCAAAAGGAAACCTTGGGTATATCCATCAAAACGCCCAGTTGCAATGCACCCAAACTCATCCCACCATCTATCAATCATGTTCATGCCTGGTCTCGAACCGCTCTGGTCCCTCGATTACGAGCTCCCGCTGGCCCAGGGGTCTCAGTGGCCTCAGTGTCGGGGCTGAAATCAAGTCGTCGTCTTCCTCGCCCGCCGCGAACACGACTCATTGCATGTCGCAGTAGCCCATCTGCCTCGTCATCTAGCTCCATCTCCACCTTTTGTTCCAATGTCTCTGTTGCAGGGCCCGTGGTCGGGATACCAGCTTGAGGGACTTCATCCGTCCATTCTTCCTCCGTCATGCCTCGCCGTCTTGATGCCTTTCCCTTGCCCTTGTCGCGCGAACGAGTCGAACTGCGGCTGGTGCTCACTCGCTCAAGATCCTCTGGTGGCGCAGACCCCCTCTCGTGACCTTCCAGAGCCCAGATCTCTAAAGCACGGGAGAGAAGAGTGCCAGCAATACCCGCACCGCCAGCCGCATCCCCGCCTCCACTCGCCCCAAGGACGCGAACGGCTTCATGAAGAGCTGTTACCGCCTCCATTGTCCGTCCAAGTTCCAGCAGAACAAGGCCACGCGATGTATGGAGTGATCCGATCAAGCCACGGTCTTCGTAGCCCCCAACACCCGACGACGCAACACCCGAGGCGCTGCTGCCACTGCCGCCCAAAAACGGACCGTAGGCGACACCCGCCCCACCCGCACCGATCCGAAGGCATTCGTCGAACTCAGCAAGCGCCTCGGTTAGTCGTCCGATACGGCGCAGTGCGTGACCCAAATTCGCCCGTGTAGCTACCCAGGCACCCGGCTCACAATGAAGTGCCGTCGCTAAAGCCAGCGATTGATTGAATAGCTCTACAGCGCCTTCGAGATGGTTCTGGTGGTAGAGTACCACACCGAGTTCGTTGAGAACTAGCGGGTCACCGCCATGGGCGTCGCCGGAAGGATTAGCGGGAACGGATGGCACCGTGCCGGCAGCCGCGCCCGTGGACATTGCGTAGGCTGCAGACAGGTACTCATGGGCCAAGGACATGTTGTTCAGGGCCAAATGCTGCATACCAAGGAACAGCTGCGGTAAGTGGCTGCCTTGGAACAGCCGAGCGGCCGTGCTGTAAGCGGCTATAGCTTGATCATGCTCTCCTTCAGCCGCAAAAGTATGCGCGAACCCAATCCACGCAGGTGCCGAGTGCGGATCCAGCAAGGATGCTTTGGAGAAGAACCGCCGTGCTTCGGCAATCTTTGACACCGACAGGTAGTAGACGCCAATCGCAAGGTACGTATACGACTCTTCTGGAGCATGATCCGCCAGCGTGTGAGCGAGTAGGAAGAGCGCATTTGTCGCACCGGTTTCGTATAGACAGGCCAGATGCAAAGGGTAAACCGCGGGAGGGTGCCCGAGATGACTTAGAGCCGGTACATTGGGTGTGGTCGTCGCCTCCGTGGCCAAGATCGAGGATGTCAACTCAAGCGCCTCGGCAAACCGGCACTGGGTGTAAAGAGCTTCAGCCCGAGAAAGAAGAATATCGGGGTTCTCTGCAAGGTTGTAGTGCGTGGACAGGGTCTCGGTCGCGTCGGACAGGATGGCGGGCGACGAGTACTTTGACAGTCGGGTTGTGTAGAGCATCTTGGTGAAATGAGCCGCCTCCTGAGCGACAGACAGATCGGGCGAGGAAACCGCATCAAAGTCTAGAGATTCCAAAAACTCGAGCTCTTCAGCTGGCGACATGAGCGAATTCTTCATCAACTGGTCAAAAGCCTCAAAGCACTGCACGTCAATGCGCACTGCGTCCTTGTAACAGTCACGGGCGCGATCAAAGGCATTCTGCTTCGCAAAACAGAGTCCCCGCAGGTAGCACATCGCCGCCTCAAACCGAATGTTATTCGCATCCTCCCTTTCCCTTTCCTCGTTGCGGTCAATCCGCGATGCTGTAGTCTTACCGTTGCGCAGAGTGAGGTGCTGCAGCTTGCGACGGCTGTTGCTGCTGCGGATCAGATGAGTTGGGTTATGGTCGCCGAGAACTGACAAAGCCTGTTCAAACTGATTCTGTTTTATATAGCAATGGCCGGCGAGGTAGCGGCAAGCGGTACTTCGTGAGATGAGATCTTTTCGAGAGAGGAGGGCCAAGGCGCGCGTGTAGTTGTTGTTAGAGAAATGGACTTGGGCGAGCCAGAAAGCATCGGAGTCGCTGTCTTGAGAGCACCGTCAGTCTGTTATGTCTTCTTCCAAGGATCAGATCAAGCCGACTCACTCGTCAATGCGAGCACTTTGTCGCCGATGTAAATGGCAGCATCGTGTTGGCCTCGATTCAGCGCATCCTGGCGCCAGGAGCGCAGGAACTTTTCCATGACCAAGCACAGATCGTAGACGAGGAGTGGATCGAGACACAAGAGTACCGAGAACCACCGCAAGGGCAAAAACACATTGAGGGTGAGCAAGAGCGTTTAGTTGTATTTGGTGGAGACAGTGGCCAACGCTGTGGAATCGGGCAACTTGCTTTCGAGACGCAGACAAGGTTCTGCAGTTCGTGGGAGATATCCCCTTGCGCTCCAATTATTCCCTAATGGGAGGAAGCAGAAACAATGTGCAGTGCTGGCTGCTGGAGCAATCTTTGTGCATTACCATCGTCGATGATCTTCTGTTGATCCAAACGCGTCAAAAATGGCCCGTGCATCCTGCCTGATCGGGTAGTCTGTATCCTTAGCAGTTCTTACAGCTTAGTATAGAATGCGCATGGTACCGTTCTAGCCATGCAATAATCAGAAGAATAACAGAAAATTCTTGACTTATGAGTATGACTGCACTTCCTCCTTGCCTGCTTTCTCTGGAGGTCCGGGAGACCATGTGCGTGCACAATATTTCTTATGCTCACCAATTATTAATTGTATCATGTGACTTGTGCATGCCTTATCGCCGCCATGTCGCCGCCAACATTTACATCTCTCATCCAACTTCAATATCTCTTGTATTCAAGTCAGCATCCGCCGATCAGCCACCCTGCCTTCTGTCTGAGGCTCTTTGACAGTCCCCCCTTCAAATATCTTCTACAACTCAGTTGCGATATTCAAACTAGCACCACAGCGCAACCATGTCTGAACGAAAAGTGCTCAGGTACGCCTAACCAACAACCCGAAAATGAAACCAGAAACCAGCTAACATCCACATAGCAAATACTACCCTCCGGACTTCGATCCGTCGGCGATCGGCAGGACGCCAAAGCATCTGAGACCGACCGGTCCCAAGGTCATCACCGTCCGTCTCATGGCGCCATTCTCCATGAAATGCACCCACTGCGGTACGTCTTCACTCATGTTGCCCTCTCGTGTAGCCCATACTAATTAATCTTCTACAGGCGAATACATCTACAAAGGCCGCAAATTCAACGCGCGCAAGGAAACAACCGACCAGAAATACCTCAACATCCCCATCTACCGCTTCTACATCCGCTGCACGCGCTGCAGCGGCGAGATCACCTTCCTGACGGACCCCAAGGCAATGGACTACAAGGCGGAAAAGGGCGCAAAGCGCAACTTCGAGCCATGGCGGGACACCAAGAACGATATCGAGGAGACGGAGCAGGAGACGCTGGACCGACTGGAACGCGAGGAGAACGAGGAGCAAGAGCGGTTGGAGCGGGATAAGATGGCCGAGTTGGAGGAGAAGATGCTTGATTCGAAGCGTGAGATGGCGATCGCGGATGCCTTGGATGAGATCCGGACGCGGAATGCCCGGATCGAGCGAAATGAGGCGCTCAGTGGTGACGTGGCGTTGACTCATGTTCGGAATGAGGTGGATGAGGAGCGGCTGAGGGCGGAGAAGGAGATTGAGGAGGCTGCCCGGAGGGCATTCACGACGGAGACGGGAGAGAAGGTGAAGAGGCTTGTGGAAGATGATACAATCACTGGGACGACGCCGAGCTCCAGTCAGACAGATACACCCCCTCCGCCCTCATTCGCTAGGGTTAAGAAGCCCAAAAAGCCTCTGATCAATGGTTTAGGCATCAAGAAGAAGCCCAAGCCGTCTCTGGTATAACTGTATATATGCGCCAATTTCCTCTGAGGAGCAGTTGAACGTTGCAGGTATTTGGCGTTTCGGTTTACGGGTATGCATATCATGGAATCCTCAGCGCAGTACCTTGTACATGTCAGTTATGATACGATCTATTTCAATTGAGCCTATTTCAAAACAGTAAAAAGTGGCTGCCAATGCAATGCCCTGTCGAGTTCAAAACCAGTGAAAAGAACTGCAGACAAACGTGCGAAAACGGAATGTGATATCATAAGCATATCCTCAAGGAATCAAATGTGTCCCAGGACGCCACGCTAGAATAAAAAACTAGTAGAAAATCCAAGTCCAAGTATGCCCTTCAACTTTTCCCAAATTCCTGAGACCTCCTCCGCGAACCAGATGCCATCCCCCCGAACCGAGTCAAACAAACGCCAGGTAAAGAGTACACGATAGAACATGGACGAAGCAGAAACCAGTCGACATACGACTAGAGGTACGGCATCCAGAGTGCATCACAAGACGCCAGGTGCTGAGGGTTCACAGCCTTGGAGATCAGGTCGATGGTGGTTTGGTTGGCGGGCAAATTGCCCTCTGGCGGGCTGGCAAGGCTAACAGCCCGGTTGACAATGATGTCGCTATTGTTGTACACCAGGTCACGAAGCTGTTGCACTGGAAGTACACCGCGATGTTGCGCCGTGGCCCAGAACATCATCTCGTCACGAACGAAGATGCTCAGTTGCTGCTCGAGCTCATGACGCGTTTCGGTGAGGCAGCGGGCGATCGCCATCAAAGCGCAGGCAAAGAGACCTTCAGTTGCGATCGGTCCCATCAGTGTCTGGATATTAGGCGTGAAACGGAATGGCACCTGTTCCGGGTTGTAGAAGAAAGCCTTTGCGGGGTTAATCGCTGGTATCAGCTCCGTGCCCCAAATGTCACCTGTAGATCTGGAGATCATTATCTTGTTGGGATACCGGTTGCCCATATGCATCACGTAGGTCATGAATGCGATAGCCGCGTATTGATAGGAGAATTGACGACGGAAGAGCCAGAAATTTGCAAAGTTGGGATACGTCTTCTGGAAGTAGTCCTTCACAATCGTACTGGGCACCCACTTCTCCTGAATGGCCGTGAGAATCTCGGTCCGAAGAACCTGTTGCTGGTCAGGGGTCCGCTGGGATACGTTAGCTTGCTCCACCATTAAACAATCTGTTTGACGTACATTTTGCTTCGTCTCTGCCAATGACCGCATTTTCTCCATAGTAAACAGAACAGGTTCATCCTTGCTGGTTCCCACTCGGCGGCAATAGTCCTCGAATATGCCCTGCATAGAAATGTATGAAGGATCATCGCGCACCAAGCGAATGTGCGGCGCGAGGGGAACCATGAGCGGGAGATGGAAATAAAGGTTACGGCGCCGGCTTTCCTTGCGTTTGCCAAGAAGCCCGTTGAAGATACGGAAGAGCTGCAGGATGCGCTCTTCTCGTCTACAGTGGCGAGCTGCGGGATGTTGAACAGCGAACGGATGCACGCTACCGTCATGGCCACGAATCTTGAGCCGACGATGGCAAACACCAATACCCCGGACAAGGTCAATATCTGGCAGGAACCTGTCGATGCGCACGAAATCCTGGTTCTTGTCCTTGTGCAGCAGATATTGTCCCGGCACCTCGACTTCATCAAATTTCAGGAAGCGGAACTCGCTCAGATGCGGCGAATAGGTTTCCAAAAATTGGTACTGGCCGCGGCGATCCAGCTTCTCCTCGAACTTGTCACGCCAGCGACGCAGCTTCTGGATGTATTCGTACATGGTTGGCTTCTTGACGACGAAATCGGCTTCAAAAGACTTGCGAATATGTGCAGGGAGAATCGTTTCCGCGAAGCGAGTGATATTGGCCTCGGTGGCGGCAGGTAGTTTAAAGTCTTGGGCGTATGAACCGGGCATGCGACCCACGTAGGCCAAGCCATCGTTAAGCAGGGCGACAATGAGACGATAGGCGTCCTCGTCAGGGGGGCACTTGAAGTTCTTGTGAATCTGGTCGACCATCGTCTCCATTGACAGTGCAAGCAACGGGAAGGCAGTCTTGAGACCGGACATGATTTCGTCCGAATACTCCCAGGGTTTCTTAAGAGGCTCCTTTTCTGGCTCTGCTGCAGCAGTCTGGGTCTGCTGCTGCACCCCGTTCTGCCCAGGGACTTGCAAATTAGCCTGTTGTTGATTCTGAGGTTGCTGCATTTGTCCTTGCCCTGAACCTTGGGGTTGTCCAGGAGTTGCACCGGAGGGTTGAGCTTGTCCCTGGGGCTGAGCTTGGCCTTGAGCGGGTGATTGCTGGGACTTGATCTGACCCTGACCTGGACTCTGGCCTTGGGCTTGACCTTGAGATGGTTGGCTAACCTGACCCTGAGCAGGAGCATTTGGAATAGCAGGTTTACTACCCTGTGCAGGAGAACTGTCGGCCGTCGCCGGAGAAGGCTTGGGGTGGGGCGACGCCTGCTGCTGCCTAGCACGATTCAACTTCTCCTGCTTCTGCTCATGCTGTTTCTTGATACTGAGCATGTCCTCCCGGTTCGTACGGAGGAGGAAGAAGAGCGCCTGAGGGTACAATTTCGCTATCTTCACCAAGACGGCCTTGCAAAGGCGTGCTTCGCGGTGCGACAGGCTCGTAAGAAGCTGCGGTATGAAGGTAATCCAGTACCAAACAGGTGTGTCTCCCTTGAAGTTCTCGAAGGCTCCGGCAATTCGTCCCTCTTCGTTGTCCAAGCTGAGAAGCCAGAGAATACGGCTGAGAAGCTTTCTAGACTTCGCATTCTTGTAAAGGCCGGCAGCCTCAAGGTAACAACTAACCGCATTGCTGGCCAGTTCATAGTCCGATGGATCGGCCTTGAAGCGTTGATCACTGTACTGGCCCCATTCAGACCAGGCCTTTGCGAGTCTCAAGTCGTAGTACAAAGCGACCCCAAATGCCTCGTTGGCCTCATTGACATGGTTGAGCTTGGCCAGGAACATGCCTTTGAGGGTGTAGAACTCTGCCTTCTGCTGTGCGCCGAAGTAGTTGAGATTTGTGTTGTTGATTACATCCAATCCACTGTTGAGTTCCTTGGGGTTCTGATAATGGCATTTTGCCTGTTCCCGTAACTTCAAGAAAGCCTCTTGAATTTCAATGTTCGGTAGGGTGTAAATCCGGCTGAGCTGGTTGATACAGACTTCGGGCATTTGGTGCTTTCGAGCAACATGGGCGAACCTGTTGATGATCCATGCTGTCTCGTGGTAGCCACGATAGGCGTAGGAATTGCTAGCCACGTTGTTCGTCTGTGGGGGTAGCAGACTTAGGTACGTCGCGTTGATGAGCTGGAAGATATGCTGGCGCCAGGTGACAAGATCCTGCCAAGCGTTAATATCATCCCAGAGATTGGGAAGACGGTCTCGCCACGTTCCAAGCAGCAGCTTCAACTCAGCGGACTTGGTATCCAGGTTTCTTTCATTGGTTTGGGACAAGCTTGCACAGATATGGCTGGCATCATGAAGCTCAACAAGAAGTTGGAAATGCTGCAATATCGGAATATGGGCATTTGTAATATTCTTCGGCAGCTGGAGCCATTTGCGAATGGATAACTGGATCGACTCATCACACACGCCGTTGAAATCTTGCAAATTCTCTTTCTTGAGATGGAACTGCAAGAGCGACATGAAAGCTTGGAAGAAAGTCCGCCTGGGCGTGGGCGCATCGGAAACAGATTTGATGAGCGATTCGATCTGCTCCCTATTGCCTTCGCTTTGCCAGTTCTCAATGTTCCTCCAGGCAGCCTCCAAGAGAAGATCATTAAGATTCTCGTGCTTGGCAAAGTCACTCAAAATCTCCCACTGCTGCAATTTCTGGGCGCAGATCAACCAGTGATCTTCCCACAGGTAGTATTCGCCTTGCGAAAATGGCATTGCACCGGACCGTGCCTTGATCTGAGCATTTTCGTAAAGCTGCTGGGCCTTATCCCACATTCCTTGCTGTTCATAAGAGAGGGCAGCGTTGGTTTCAACGAACTTGCATCGACGCCGCCAGGTACCATAGAAGAAGTCATCTTCTTGTAGACCAGCATATACCCCCACCAACGCATCCAGGTTACTCTCACGTACTGTCGGGGTATCAATGATTGGACTGATTGCGGTTTCCTCCAGGTAGCTGGCAGCCGTGTACCACGCGTCATAGGTGCGACTGAGGTACTTCATCACGTGAGGAGGGACTTTGAATCGGGGCTTGGACCTGACGGCGCCTTCAAGCAGAGCTTGCACAACATTTGGCCTCTTGTCCAGCTGTCTTTGATGGTATTCGCGCGTGATGAGTGTCACCATGCCCTTCTCCAAGTCGATACGGTCCTCCCTGGACAGTGTGGACCAGAAAATCGGAAACAACGTGGTCCACAGACTGTAAGAGACGTTTGGGTCCGTATGCTGGAGTTGGCAGAGCGGCTCCATCAAATCTCGAGTTCTCACGTCGCCGATATCGGCTATGAATCGCTTACGATCGGAGATAAAAGCCTCCAGCTGAGCATCGACCATGACATCAGTCTTCCTTGCGTCTTTTTCAGCATTGCTCAGAAGGAAAGACAGAGGATAGACGGTGAAATCGTCAGGGTGAAGTCTAGCAGGTGCTGCCATGTCGACACATCCCAGTATGAGATGGGAGGCTTGGGCGAGCCAGAAAGAGTCCGCGAGAGTGTCCCAATTCTGGCAGGTAAGGACATAGCTTAGCCGGGAGCTAGCTAGTCGAGTCAAACTCCGATCGAAGATGTTCATGAACCGATTACGCATTTCAACATCCTGCGCTCTAGTGCCAATTAAGAATGCGTGCTCCAGCCTAACTGTGAGCTCAGTGCGTGTTATCTTAGAATCTTCGTAGATCCTAATCACCAAATCCAAGAACTTCTTCAGCATTTTCTGGTCCGATCGAGTCTCAAAAAGTAGCATCTTGTGTAAGACAGCAGTCTTCTCCTTCAAGGTCGGCCAAGATTCCGTTGAATAGAAAATCCAGGTCTCAACCATATTCAGTACTTTGGTGCAAAGGGCCTCATTCTGTGACCTTTCCACCAACTGTGCAAGTACACTCAGGAAAGGGCGTCTTTGCTCACCGAGGTGAGACATGCGCACAGAGATCAGCTCGATTGTCTTAACAATCAGGTCAACACCGATTTCATATTCCTGTTGATCCGGCACATTCTCTGCAGGTTTGGCGGCTCCAGGTGGATATTGTGCTTGCTGGTTGTTCGTCGATGCTGCAACGTGGTCTTTCGCCAATTTCTGAGAGAAGGCCTTCATAACTGGGACAATATGGGCGTCCATCTCAGCCGGTTTGTTCTTTGAAAGAGTCCAGAGGATATTGAGGCTTGAAATGTAGTTGTTAGCCGAAAGAGTCTCTGTCGCAATGGCCGACAGGTAGGTGACAAATTCAGAGGGCGAGTTCTCAACATCCATAGCATCTTCCTCCTCCGGTTGATCTTCTGGCAGAGCATCAAGAACGCGTCGTATTGGGGGCGGCAGTTTGGGAGAGATATCCATGTTATCCTCTACGCCGTGAAGTGAATCCTGAATTTCCAGATTGTCTGAGCGCAAGGGCTTCTCGAACAATTTTTGAGCGAGCGGAAGACGAGCAGTGATCCATTCATCAGGCTTAACTGCGAGAAGCACACGCACGACTTGCAAAGCATTAATCATGCTGGTGATGTGCTTTTCGTCTGGCTTGTCCGCCTTTTCCCCGGCAAGGATCGGTTCGGTAATCTTCTGATACAACTCAATATCAAGATCGCCCCAGTACTCAGGAGAGAGGAGGTTCCTCAGTAGGAATACAGCTTTCTTGACCATGTCGCCAGTCAGGATGGCCGGCTGCTGTTGCTGTGGTTTTGACGAAGGTAGCTCGCGGAAGCGAGCAGCTGGAACGGGGAACCTCTCGGGCACGGTTGTAATGAATGTAATCAGGTACTTCGTCATTGTAGCTCGTAGGTCTGAAGGTATGATGTACTCAGTGCGCTCGTGAGAACTAGGAGGAGCAAGAGCTGCAGAGGGTGAAGATGTGTCTTGTGTATCTTCAAGTTTGCGCTTCCTTGCATTTGGCGACTCCAAGATGCCATTGGTCATAGCGGTACGGCTGCTAGTAACCCTCTTCTCTTCCCAGTGCCAAATCAGACCGATTAGATTCAGAGCGAGCTTCTTGCTTTCATTATTCGAATTCGGAGGTGCCGCAATTTTGATCAAAGAGGGAACGATAAGTGGAACGAAATGCTCTCTGGATTCATAGAAGAGGTCGGGATGCCGCACAAGGAATTGAAAAATGCTCATGACTTGTTGCAGATTCGCAGTCTCTTCCGCTAAGATGCGTCGAGGCCACTTCGCCCACAACGGATACCGTGTGTCAGGCGCCTGAGCATTGCTCGTTGCAGACATTATCCTCGAAGGCAAAACGGGCGCCAGAACGTCAAGAGCCTGGGTGACAAGGGCTTTGCCCTCGTTTTGATGTGCTCGCAACAAAGCGACGTAGACCTGGACCACGATCTTGAAAGGTGTCTCATAGTGGGCAATGAAGTAACTGATGAGAACATAGGCCCCATACTTGTTGATTATATCTTCAAGCCGAATATAATTCCAAGCAAACTTAATGATGTCCTTGCGAGAGTCTTGGACGGTCTGATGATGGTATTTGATCAACAAAGCTGACAGCTGGAGTAATTCCATGCGCGAATGGTCCACGCCAGCTTGAGTAGACTCCTCGCTCAAATCGGTTAACTGGGGCCTCCAGAGACGGCTCTGAATAGATTCGGTCATGCTCTTATCCATCAGCTTCGGGCTGTTAGAAGGGCTATTCCATGTTGTTTGGACGTCCATGGCGAGTATTGGGTTGACCAGATTGTGGAAGGCGTACGTCTTCATCTTCTGCGAGCAAGTGCGTTGGCCGTAAAGGTCGAGACAGCGCATGATTACTGACCGCCGGTAGTCGATCGATTCGTTTGTTATGATGTGGCGGTAGATGAACTTGGGGAATGCCAGCGTACGCTTCAGTTCTTCTGCCGATAAACCGTCTATCAGGTCAAAGAGGAAATCCAGGTCCTGCACCGACTCGGACAGGTAAATGGTGAATATATCCATCAACTGGTCCTCCGCTTGCTCCACCCTCAGACGTTCGTTTGCCGGAAGCCGATCATTGCGCAGCTTTTTCTCAAGATCTCGTCCAGCATTGAGCAGCATGGTCTTAAGATCAGCGTGCGAGACCAGCCAGCGCTTGGTGGCCTGGTACGAGCAGACAGAATGCGCAACATAGATACCGTTAATGGCAGCAGTATTCCTGCCATCGGCTGAGTCTTGTCCAAAAACAGCTGACTTGAAGCCCTCGGTGTCTGCTACGACTGCAGCACGCAATGCCTCGCTGTCCGGGTCCGCGAGGATCTGGCCAAAGAATCGTCCGAAGCGCTCCTCTTTAAAGCGAGCTTGGAAAAACGCCAGACTCTCCTTGGGATAGCGATTGAGATACTTGACAAGCGGTTTCCGGAATGGACTGTTAGATGTTCGGCGAAGCTTCTCTTCCAGTTCCAACACTTTATTCACAAGGTGCTCCATAAATGATGTGGCGGCTGGAGGAAGAAGGTGGAATATGTTGAAGATCGCAGTGACAATCTTAATTGTCTGATTCTGCTCGACAAGGCTAAACGATACCTTTTGCAACACCGCATCATCCGCTATTACCTTCATGTGATCCAACAGCCGGGCACCAATCTCGACCTTGAAGTAGTTTGTCAACAGGGTAAGGAGGCGAGCAAGGCCATCCAGTCCTGCCACACTAAGGCGTTTGGGATCCTGCAGGTTCATGAGAATTGGGCGAAGGCCATTCTGAAGTAGATCCTTGGGCAGCTTGTTCGTCTGCGTGAGAACATCCCTGAGACCTGCGTTGGCCGCCTCGATGGCATCGTGTGATCGAGAATAAAGGGACTTGAAGAAGACGGAGATAATGCGCGCACGGCTGGTGTTCTGCGGTGTATTTGCGAATTCTGGAAAGCTCATTGCCATCGACAATAGACGCAGGCAGGCCACACGGAGATTGACAATCATTTCGGCATTCTTGAACTCATTCGGCTTGGTTGCGAGAGACTCATCGTCAGCATCTGCAAGGGCAAGGGACTCTAGCATCAATCGATTCAATGGCTCATTGAAGGTGACAATGTTGTTGTGGAGGCTTAGGCAAAAGGTTATGGCATCAATGAAGCCGATCTGAGTGGGGAAAGGCAATGCCCGCAGAGGCTTGTTAAAAATCGACTGCAGAAGCCGGTCTTTGACGGGGAAAATGAGCTCGTGTACTTGACAACCAAGCACCTCGGCAATTGTGGAAAAGCTCCTTCGCGAAGCCTCACGGACATGCTTGTTCATATGCGAAAGCTCATAGACAAAGAAACCGCAAAGGGACCAAAGACGACTCTTCTCGTTCTTCATGTCATCCTTGGACACATTCTTGCAGCATCGTCTGAGAATCAAGTCCAGGGTGTCACCCGCACTGACTCGAGTGCTAGCCGGTAGATCAGCGGGCGTATCCTTGATAACGTACATCAGTGCTCGAGCGAATTCAAACTGTTTATCAAAGAGCCAAGAATCCCCAAGATCAAGTTTGGTTGCGAAGAGGTGAATACCCAGGCTGCCTCCCGCCTTGGTGAACCATTCCTCGCTATGACAACTATGGCAAAAGACACGGCCCAGGTGCTGGAAGAATGGCAGTTTCGCAACTCGCTCAGGTGCTCCAAAAATAATCCCCGCGGCGTCCTTCATGACCTGCATTGCCGCCTGAGCGCCATCGCGGACACGAAGGTTATCAGATGAGAGGCTTTCGACGATTGCTTCAGCGAGAATCCGCGAGTCTAAATAAACGGGACCTTCTCCACTATGGACATCAAAGGGCTTCCGGTTATGTCTGGCTAGCGCTAGGGCCCTTCCGACTTCGACAACTGCAAAATGCTTGCAGACTTCAGCCACGAAGGCAGCTGCGCTCTGTTCGATGTCTGGAAGGGTTGTGGCGAAAATGCAAGCTTTCAGGAGCTGCTTCAGAGTGCCCTCCTGCGCCAACTTCTTCGCAATTGAACTAGACCTCTCAGACTTGTCCAGGATGTCGGCCATGGCTGTGGTTTTGCCCTCGAAGAGGTCATTGGCGTGCAAACGCAAAAGAGCAGCTAGATCTTCCGGGAGATTCTCATGACCAATGTAGAGTTTCAATTGGGATGAGAGCATGCGGAATGCCTGTTGCTTATAGTAGCCATCAGAGGCCTTCGCGGCGGCCGTCTTGGGAACCTCCATTAACTTCCTGATTGCTAGGTCCACCCCAATTCCGCTGGGGAACGGCCGTTTCTCACTGGGCCCAATGAGCTTGATATCGAAGCTTGGTGAATCATCAGAAAATTGCTCGAATGTAAGCTCAGGCGGATGGTTCAAAAATTTCCTGTTACGGCCACCTAATTTGCCCAGAATTCGCATGGTTGTATGAGCGTGGAAATGATTGTAGGGATGCGGTCGCAGATGATCCCATAGAGCAGTCATCAATTCGTCCATAATGGGAGCCATGATGGGGTCCAGGTAGTCAGCCGTGAGATTGTCAACGCAAAGCTCAAGGGTTCGCAGGCCCTGCCCTACAAGATCTGAGTCTGCACGCAATGCTACAACGATGGGGCGCATGAGGTAGCTCAGGTGAGGCAGAAGATGGGACAAACGCGCGGGCACAGTGAGCGTCAGTTCGACATAGAGATCACGCTCTTGCGGCTTTCGAGCAGCAAGCAATAAATTGTTGAATGTCTCAAGGAGCATCTCCAGTAATGGAAGGATTTCCTTGTACAACAATTCGAATCGGCCCCCGCCAATACTGCGAAAGAGTGACCGCAGGAGGAGGAAATAGTTCATGGGTTCTTCAGCGGTGACTGATAGCTCGATACATTTCGTGACGATCTTGGTTACATGAGGATGCAGTACCTGCTCATTTTGGACGGAGAAGAGGGTCACGGCCATGAAAGAAAGCTTGAACATCCTGAGGAGAATTTTCGCTTTGGTCATGTCAGCGGTTCCCACTTCATGGATACGATCCATGAGGTACTGGAGCACCATCCCGGAGAATGCAGGAGAAGTGGCTTCGCTGGCGAGGAAGAATTGAGGCAGGTGAAGTAAAGCCCCATGCTCAAACATAAGCTCATGAAGGTAAGGGATCTCGGAGTGAAACACCTCATGGAAAGTAGCCGTATCAATGCAGTGGAAGACAGTCCCAAAGCTCTCCAAAAGCTCTTTCTCTTCCCGCGACATAGGCGCCGTATACTGACTGGCAAGGAAATCGAAGGGCGAACTATATGTCACTTCTGGCGCAGGCTGATCGACGCCATAATATTTGAAGACACGCGCTCCCTCATGGAACAGCTTCTTGATAACCCGTACTTCCTCTGCATTATAGCCGTAAGAGACTTCAGGCCAATTGATCGGCACGTTGTTGGGGTCGATCTGAATATGTTCTGGGTTGCAGTTCTTGAGCTGATGAAAGATGTTCTTCAGTCCGTTGATGAGGTTCTTGAACAGGAAGATGTTGTCCGAGACAGGGTCTCCTCCGCGATCGCGAGGGTTCGAGGTCTTGATGGGCGACGCCGAGAATATATCGATCTCATCCCAATCTGGAGGGTTTTCCTTGTCCGCGAGATATCTTTCGGAAGAAGGCTCAATATCTTTCTTGCCTGCCTTGTACGCCTTGGACACCTTGACGGCATTATCAAATTGATGATTAATCCAAGCAAATTTATCACCAATAGCATCTAAGATCATGATCAGGAAATAACGGGCCTCACGCTTATCGTCTAGCTTTGCAATCCTTTCGGCCATGTTCAAAAGCAACTTAGCACTCATGGTTTGAAAGCTTGTTCCCGGGAAATCGTCGTGAAGATTCTTTGTGTACACTTCGACTGTCCGCCGAATTTGATCGCGAGTGAGGTGATCTCGTACATGGTGAATAAGATCTGCAAGCATGCTGTAGGCGAGTGGCCGCATCGTCTCGTACACAGTTAATCCATCGCCGATGAGGGTTCTCTCGTCGAGAAGTTCGTCAATCTTCTCCAGGAAGATCTTCCGGTAATTAAAATTGATAATATGCCGGATGGCCACAAGAAGCTCTTTCCTGGCGCTGGATTTCTCCCTGGGGCAATCTTGGAGGAGTCGAACCACAACGGAAGGAAGTGTAGGGAGAAAATCTTGGAGCTGGTGCGCATACATACGGAGCAGGTACGCGAGAAAGCTCATTGTCTTCACTTGTGCTGTGATGAATTCGCCAAAGGCAGCACGATTTTTGATTTCCCTGCATACGCCTGTAAAGATTGTCCCTTGTGCTGCTGCCTCCGCATGCGCCCGCTCCTGCGGCTTGGCTTGAAGGAGAAGAATGCTCTTTATTAAAGGCACGAACAGCTTCACATTGGCCGAGACCGAATTCCGATGGGTCTGGAAGATGGACACGACTATGATTGGGCACTCCGCCAAGACCTTGAATGACTGCATACCCTTGAGCAGGACATTGCTGGATTGCTGATCTGGTCCGAGATCTGACACCGACGTGGCAGGCGAACTGGGCCGAGGGGACTGGAAGGTCTGTACTGAAGCACTCGGGGTTGACGGCATTCCGGACGGTGTAGCCTGGCTTGGTGCATCGAATGTATCACGGACAACCTGTTCCATCGTCTGAAACATCTCTTGGATGAGCTCCAGGAAGGGCTGTACCCGGGCAGCTGTCGCAGTTGCTTGGTTCCGCTCCAGATCCATGATCGTCTTCATGCAGAGAACCGCGTTCTCCTCATTCTCGATGCGCACAAGATCCATAAGCAGGTCAACCATATCCGCAGCGTAGGGTTCGACATCGGGAGAAGCCATTGGCAGTCGGTGTAAGGTTTCGAGGACGCAATTCCGTAATTTCTAGGACAGGGACACCGATATGAGCTCCAGTTTCGCCAATCTCCCAAATTGAGAGGGGAAAGAGCGCTGGAGCTAAGGCGACTTACCTGTTCGAATGACAAGTTTGTGAACACCGGCTCGCCCTTCAGAATATTCTTGAAAACTGGCCATAGCTTGGAAAGGAAAATTGGATAGCTTGCACCAGAGCACAACGGCTCAATGTTGTCTCGTAGCTCGACCGCGACGTTGGCTCTGATTTTAATATCTATGTCGCAAACTGGTTAACACAGGTCGAATGGCGCATATCACTGACAGGATTTGCGCCTCGGGTGAAACGGTCTCGTAGTCTGCCCAGACAGATATGCATTGAGGTAGGAACGTACCAAGCTTATCGTCGCCCAGCTTGCTGGCGTAGATATCAATGCTTCGCTCCATGGCTGCGGTTGATCCCCGGAGGAGAAGGTATTAATATGTCGAATGGAATTGAATCAATGCCAGGCCGCGAGGCCGGCTAATTATTGAAGAGCCAGCACAACCGGTTTCGCGTGTTCCCCTCACATGCGGGACATCGAGGGAGGAATCGTCTCTTGACTCGCTCGACGAAAACGTTCTAGCTAGGTGAGCAAAAGAAACACGGTCGTTAAGTCATTAAATTCCCCCGCTTAATTTTTGGGGTGATAATCAAAAGGGAAAGTATTCGCTCCAAAAGAGGGTATCAAGAAGTAGCGGAGGGGAGCGTGGAAGGGAAAGAAGGATATTAGATCTCACAGACTCATGCCTTGAGAACTCCCAGAGCAGAAAGCTGTAGAGCAGAACGCGGGTATCGCAGAGACCCCGAAGGAAACACTAGGCCAAATCAGGAAATTTCGGATAACTATTTCCCCGTTCCGGCTGGCGCGCGTCTACTGCGGTAGTCGCGTTACGTAGCCTATCAAGACCAAGGAGTATGTGTCAGTGTGCCTGACCCTGACTTTACACATTGAAGGCACGTGCATCAACAATTGTTGGAAGCATACGACAGTCCATAGAGTGACTGGAAGTCTTTATTTTAGAAATTCAAAAAGATGAACCGACAACAACAAGGTCGATCGAGCGAAACGCCATTCGCACCCGTTTTCCAGACCCGAACAGAGTTCTAATAGTCCAAATCAAATGTCCGCTTGGTCAACCGCGGGGGCTCTATAAGCCTCACGCGCACTGTGAAGGATATTGAAAGTCATGTACATAAGAAAGAAGAGGGTGTGGAAAAGAGGAAAGCGACCAAGGCAAAAGGCTCGCACGGGTGAACGGCTTGTATCATATGTCAAGCCAAACAAAGTCAAATACACTTTCATCGCAGCTCATAGTCGCTATGCCATCGTTGCACAAAAAGGAAAATCTAACGGAGTAGTCATGTTACCAAACCGACCATCACTTGAGAGAGTTGCTCCGCGACAAAAATGATACGGCGTTCGAACCAGCCGACCGTCGTCGATCTACACGCGGTCGAATCTCACTGCCGCTACCACTTCGTCGCCTTCGCGTATAAGAACCGTCGAGAGAACCTCGGCGCCGTCTCTGGAGCAAACGGACGTTTCAACGTTAGAATCACGCTTGCTAGACGCCGAAATGCACAAAATCTTAGCAACATATACAGAATGCGACAACAAAATTCAAGTAGATAGTCCTCGATTACGAGTGACAATCACATGCGACAAACGCGAACACAAAACCAGTCAGGGTAGGATGCTACTTACCGTAGTTGGTGCACCCTCTTTCCGCTCCTTGTTTGACGCAGAATCCTCCAGTTTCAGGGCGTTGAGACGCTTCTGATTATCCTGAGCAAGGGCATCAACCTCATCAATTTGCGCCGGCACATCTGCAGGTGGAGCTGGAGGCGGTAAGAGTCCGTTCGTCCTTTGCTTGGCTCGCTCCAAGACCTTCTCCCATCGCTCTTGTCGAGCTTTCTCACGCTGCTCAGCGCTGTTCTGCCGCTCATTATATTCATGGGAACATTCGTCAAAAAGTTGAGGGTTGATTTCCATGAACATCTTCATGGCATTGTACACCATGCTGTGAATTGTTCTGTGAGAGGGTAAGAATGTTTAGCGGATCTGACATAAGAAGTACGCCCAAGACTGTAATGATCAACTTACCTATTCCAATGTCCCTTGGAGTTCTCGTAAAGCGGCGCGAACATGATGGGAAGGATCGTCTCCACATTGTCACTGACCAAGTTGCAGAAATATTCATTGTTCCAAAAGTAGAGTGCGCGTTCCGCGACCTGGAAAGCGACGATTTAGTCACATAATCGTAGGACACAGTCCTGGTCAGGTATTTTCTCTGCACATACCTGGAAATGAGGACTTGCAACTGACTTGGCCAGTTGTTGAAAAAGAGGTACTTGAACCTTGGCAAATTCCGCTGGATCCATGACTTCGAAGATATCTTCCACTTCGTTAAGATACATGACCTCCTTGGTGCTATTCGTCTTAGGCCAGTAGCGTAGCAAGCCCAGAACGACCTAAAATCCAAGTTATCAGAAGAGCTGGGCAGGGGATACTCAAACGCAAAAAAGGCTCACCTCTTCAGTCAAGGTAGAATCCTTTTCAAGGAATTGGACAATGCAATAAGCGAGTTGTGGGTGATACATGCTGAGACTCCTGACTTTGTGTAAGGGGAGCAGCACTCGGGTCAGGAAGAGCTTATGCTCCTCCTTCAGAGGCAAGGCAAATCCGTTGATGATAGACCCCAGAATTTCTAACAACTCGGCTATTCCGTTGAAGCGCTCTGTCTCGTACGTGAATTGGAAGAAAACGTTGTTGATGGATCGACGGATATAAGACCGCAGATTCAGGAACTTTCCGTAGATCCGATGCAAAGTGGTCTTGAGAAAGTCCCGTTCCCGAGGGTCTTCCGAATCGAATAACTCCAATAACTGATGAGGATTAGTATCGCTGTACGTGGTTCTCAGGGGGAGAAGAAAGGGCTTCGAGGTATAATTGTACCTGGAGGACAAAATGATGATCGATATATGCCTTGGCGATGTTGGTGTTGAAATCTTGACTCTCGATAAATCTCAAGAAGAACTCATATACAACCTGGATATGCGGCCAGGCCACTTCCAAGACCGGCTCGTCCTCTTCGGGATCAAAGGCCTCGCCTTGGGGGGTCACTGGGGGAGGGATGGGTCGGAAGAGGTTTTTGGCGAACATCTCGACCACACGGGGGTACATGGGCTCGGTGATCACTGAACGGTTGTTCGCTACGTAGTCCAGGAGCTCGTGGAGCGCCAGTCTCTTGATCTCCTTGGACTTCATGTCGGCTGTAGGATCATTGAAGTCGAAAATGATATTGCACTGGTCAATCTTCTGCATGAAAAGCTCTTGGCGCCGATTCGGTGGCACTTCGTGGAAGCCGGGAAGTTTCTCCAACTCCCGTTGGCGCTGATCGGAGATATCGAATCGTGACGAATGCTGGCGCTTTGGAGTCCGAATCCCTTCCGACATATCCTTGGGTGTAGTCTGGAGGCGATCAAAGACATGAGATTTTCTCGGAGGAGCCAAGTCGCCAGGCATCGTCTCTGCGGCACCAGGGGGAGGGACATGCTATCGAGATAGGAAAGTCAGCACTCCTCGGTTGTTTCCATCGATACAGTCACAGCGCGATCAACGTCTCCGACGGACTTTGGAACGTCGCTAGGAAACTCACCGGTGGTGCGCTTGGGCTGATAATAACGCTAGGCGCAATCGGCTGCCCTTGCTTGGTCGGAGTCCCTGGTCCATTGTTCACAGGCTGTTCAGCTACACCTGCACCATGTGGAATGAAATGCTGGCCAGCGGGGTACACCCCCGCTTGCGCAGCATTATCCGGTGACTTTCCCCTTATATCATTTACGGAGGTCGTAGATGAAGTCGGCGTGCCGTGATTCGGGGACGCGGATTGCTGGGCCTGGTGGGCGGCAAGGGCGGCCTGATTCTGGGAGTCTTTCTTCTTCGAGGACTTATTCGCTTCTTTTGCCCTCGACAACTGCTCATGCTGAATAGTTATTTTAGCCAGGAACTTGTGGTATCGCAGTGCTGTAGTGGTCGCCAGGCATCAAGGCGGCGAGGGGGGGCGGCGATCGTGGAGCAGACTCACCACTCTCTGTCTGAAACCCTTCATTGTCAAGACTATGTAACCAGCCACATGTACTCGGTCGAGGTTCTCGATGCCAGTGCAGCAAGCTGCCGCACACTAGCAGGAGGCGTTAAGTCGGGCAGCGCGGACGCAGTTCAAGGAGGAGCCACGGCGTGATTTGTTTATGTTCGGCCTGGAGTGACCACATGAGCATGTTCCAACCACAACAGGTAGAAAGCGACGGTAATTATCAATCGAAATATTGCAGGATTTCAAACCATTCAAGCCGGAAGATCGACGCCTTCAGACCCGAAAACCAAAATTAAAAAGCGGTGGGTTGAACGAATAGCCCCAGAGTTGAGGATCAAAATGGGGGGAAGCGGTAGGTTAAGGAACAAGCGGACAATTGTAGCACCAGGGGCAAACAGAAACATTTGAATCCAGTCACAAGAAACCATTGCTGCACAACTTACCTCAGTAGAGTATTCCAGAATCTGACAATGCGGATATCAAGGCCGAGTGGAGGAGACACAAGTCTGATTAGATAGATCTTTCAGTTTTCTTTCGGACGCGAACCCAGCGGTTTTCGATTGATAGATAGTCAGGAGCAGCTATCAGGTCGGTTTGGCCTGTCTGCTTGGGCCGATCGTCTGTCCCCTTGTCGCTTAGCGGCTGGCTGGGAAGAGCGGGGTGGGTGCAAGAGCCCCAGAAATTAAGATGGGCGATGCGGTTTGCAACAAGGAGTGAGATAATAAAAGGTTATTAAAATCAAGAAGAAACAGTAATATAAAATTTCAGGAACGGGAATTGCAGAAGATTGCTGCACGCTGAGTACCTAGATAGTATACTGGTGATTGTTGTTGTGGAGGTCTTTACGACGGGGATGAAACAAACTGTCCTGTCACTGTGGCTGAGGAGCGCTCGGGCTGGTAAATCTGCAGAGGTTCACACGACACACACAAGGACAGGCGCTGCAGCTATTCAGGAAGTTGTCTATCTATCTACATACTGTCTAGATCTGAGTGCTCACGCTGAATAGATCGCACGCTAAATCAGAGATCAGTTAGATGGTTAAATCACACTCGAGGGACGGAATCTCCTCTCAATAAGGCCTGGCCTGGATATAAGTCATGTGACTCGGCATTCTCTAATCACCAGTAGAGACAAGATCCTGGGGCGATACCTCAAGATTGGATTCAGCGTCACCATAAACATCGTGGATCAATTGTCAAAGTAGGCTTTCCATATGTCTGGTCTCACAAATTGAAAGACCGGGTCTACCGTGTGGAGTTGGCAGATTGTCTATTCCAATACATCGCGAGGTCCTATTCATACCT